AATCGTCTTCTTATCCCTGGATTTGGATCTGGAATTCCGCTTCCCGGACCCTGCCTTCTCTGGCTTCCGTCCACGATCTCGATTACCCTTGACATATAAGCTATCGGCTTGAGAGCTTTCCCCTGCATTCTGCTTCCGCTGGTTGTGAGCCAACAAGGCTGCAGTAATCTCCTCAACGTTGATAGTCTCTTTCCCATATGTAAGAGTAGTCACCATGTGTTCGTAAGAGGAAGGCAACGAACACAACAGAATCATCGCTCTGTCTTCATCCTCAATTTTCACATCAAGCTGAGCCAGATCAGAAACGATTTGATTGAAGACATTCACGTGTTGCGCCAAATCATGATCGTCCTGCATCTTCAGCCCATATAGCCGCTACTTCAGATACAGTTTTGTCGTTAAGGATTTTGGACATAAACTGACTTTCCAACTTCCTCCAAATTTTGTCTGGAGACGATAGATGCATGACGTGATACATGACCTCGTCCGCCAAGCATAATCGTATGGTTCCTGCCGCTCGCTGCTGCAATTCTTCCCAATCTTCCTCATCCATCGACGCCGGCTTTGTAGGTCGCAAAGCCTTCAAGATCCCTTGCTGCGCCAATAGATCCTTCACCCTCATTTGCCATAATCCGAAGTTACCCTGACCATCGAATTTCGCGACTTCGAATTTTGCTCCTGACATCTGATACCAATTGTTGACGAAAATGGGTAAAGAAAACGAAAGAACACGAGAATTTTACGAGGTTCGGCAATGTGCTTACGTCCTCGGTGCCTAGGCGGCGCTAGAATTTTATTCAATGATATTTTAGGTCTAGGTTACATCTCTATTTATAATAGAAAACCCTGGTACATAATTACAAAATCAACCCTGTACCGTACCGCGGGGCTACGCCCCCGCACCCCCAACCCACATAATTTGTAACCCCACAACGAGACTTTCTTTGTAAGGACAGTTGATATTCGCTTCGCTCACTCCGCTCCATCTCCTGTCCTCTTTACTGGTATATTTATGAGCCATACCTAACACCTATGAACCTGCAAATGTTTCACTCATAGGTATTAGACACAATGATTTAAAAAAAAACAGCGAATGAACACAGAACCCTCCAGCTAAAACAAATAGGATCCATCTACGAATGCCTTAGTTGATAAAAGCGCACTCCCCAGTGCACAAGGCTCCTCACATTGCTTTTTCCACTACTTGAACCCCATGAACTTCCAGTTACAAAGGATCAAGCTGACGTTGCAACCAAGGATCACACATAGTTGATAAAAGTTGAAAATATTGGAAGGGAAGAAATTTAGAACAACTGCCAGATCATCAGAATGTCAGTTGGAATTGGAAGAAGTTAATGAAGCCAAAGAGAACGGCTTTGAAAACTATCACAGCAGCAAGGTGCTAGATCGGCAGGGCATCGCCCGGGTCCTTTAGAGAGAACAACATTCTCTTTTGCGATTGAACTCACTCGATGGGTTCGAATGTTGATGTAAAAACCATCAAATGTGTACTACATTACTATTTTCAGTTTATAGCTTGACATATAAAAAAATAGAGGAAAAAATGCACCTTCTGTGGTCGTCTTCGAGGCTTTCTACCAACAATGTCGTTGAAACCCTTGGTTAGTCCGTCCATATCTCAACAAACAAGTGAAGTAAATGAGAGGTGGTATATGATCGGAATATATATGAGAAAACACGAGACGATGGTTTTTTTTAGACTTTCCGTTTTTAGGCGGGTAAAGGAAACGCGCTTTCACCGTACACATCTTGCCACGTGGATGATCTTAACTGTTTTAACTGTTATTTTGTGCGCCCTTCCCTCCACCCTCACCAACTTCCCCCTTTTTTTAAAGTAAAATTTCTTAAATCAAAAATGGAAAACGAATAATAAAATAATAACGAAAGGATCAAACATCAAAGACAATAAACCCATAATATCACAAATAATATTATCTCACCACTGGTAAATACAGTACTAGCCCCTCTAGTAAGCATTATCATCGTGTAGCTAACTAGCTACCAATATGCAATACAGTACTAGCCCCTCTAGTACTACCAGTCGCCCGCATATCATCGTGTAGCAGCTCTAGGACTTCACTCGGTGAATGAGAAAAGAGCGTTGCACCAAAGGGACGAGACCATGCTAACTTCGCCATCATATCAACAACACGATTACCAGAAGGCAACACAAAACTAAACAGGAGGTTTCCATCACGAGCGAGCACAGAGAAAATGTGAGGGACCATCGGGGAGGCCCTATCCATAACCACGCCTTGCTGTAGCAGATTAAACACCATTTTACAATCAGTTTCAACCATAATGTGCCGCTGTTGCGTGTCACAAGCAACACATAAACCCGTGTAGACACCCCAAAGTTCCGCATCCACAACCGAGCAGCACCCGAGCGCTATGGTGAGACCCACCAGCCAACCTCCATTACCATCGTTGTCGGATTTCGAGCTCCATCCACATTTAGCTTACACCAGCCAGCTGAAGGAAGCTGCCAGACTCCATTATTCTGCACTTCCGCTGTCAAGCTAGCTCGGCGTACACCGTACATGGCAATCGCACGCATCGCTCCCCCTTGTACGTAGTTTTAGCCTTCGACTCTGTTGCAGAATACTCTCGACTTCTACAAACTCAGCATCAAAAATATACTTATGACGTCTAGGCCAAAGGCTCCATAGAATCGATCCAAAGACAACATCCCATTCCATCCCATTTACAGGAAAATAGCTCCCATTTTGCAGATTAATTTTCACCCAGCTAACAAGATCCATGCTAAGGAACACATTTAACAAATGTGGCTTAATTACCTCCGCCCAAGTCGAGCGCACAATAACACATTCCCCAAAGATATGCGACAAGGATTCTACCGCTGCCCCGCAAAACTCACACGTGGATGTAACTGATATGCGCCGACGAACTCTCTCTTCATTAGTCATAAGACGTCCTCGGCAGAGCAACCAAAGGAGCATTTTAACTCTCGGTGATCCCTTTTATCTTGAAATATAATTTTTGATAAGGGCGTTAATGAACATAATTTTTGATAAACTTTTTGTGAACGGTTTGTATAATGTTCGTTTACGTTCATTTATTAAATTTAATAAACTAGTATGAATAAAAAATTTATGTTCATTTAATAAACGAAAGAACACGAATAAAGATGTATTTGGTTCGTTTATCTCGTTTATAAGCTTGTTTACTTGGTTCTCTTTTTCCTTTTATTTTTTAATATTTTAAATATTGGTGAAGATATGGACTAAATTGAACACATTGTGAACTTTGGAATTCAGATTGTGAAACTAAAGAGCTAAAGGGTTAGTGATGTAATCTCCTCATTTTTGAATATATAAACGAGCATGTTCGCGAACATTAAATGAATATGTTTACAAAATGTTCGCAAAAAATAAATAAATAAACATGAACACCTTAAAAAAAATAAACATGAACACAATATTAAAATTTTAAACGAACGTGAATTGAACATAAACTATACAGTACTTATGTAACTGTAATTTATATTTTTAATAAAAATATTCTTTTTACAATTTAATCCCTTTATTTTTTATTATATTCAATTTGATCTTTCGTTTACATTCAATTTCATGGCACCTTTATACTCTTACTAATATTTTGTCTTTAAAATTATTTTATAAAAATGTTAACATTGTAAATATATTTTATGATTTTATATGGTATTTGATTTATTAAATAATAATTAAATATAATTTATACATGTGAAAAAGAATATGAAAAATATATATATTAATTAAAGTGAATAAAGAAATTCGTTTAAATTTAAATCAAATCATCTCATAATATTATAAATAATTAATTAAACTGTTATCAAAGGTGCCTTGTGCTTCACTATTTTAGTCTCTGATAATCATATTAAATTAATCAAATTATTAATACCTTGTTCTTCGGCCGAAATAATACCCTTGTCGAGAATAGCAGCGGGTATAATTCGGAGATTTACAGTTTAATCTATACTTAGTTAATTAAGTTTGATAATTATTATTTATTTATAAAATCAATTAATTAGTAAGAAAAAAAACTTAAACAACACTAACTCTTATTCTATAAATTTATAGTTCAAATCAAACTGATAACGAAATATTAACAAGATTTATTTCGGTCTGAAATCGTAACCCACCTTCGATCCTTTATTTTCTCTCAATTTTATTAATTTATCAAATACAACATTAACTTTATTAGACCCAAATCACTTTCTGATTTAAAGTGGTATTTAGTTCAACTCCTCACTCGTTAGATAACTTTGTAGTTCGCTCTTTAAAAATCTCGAGTTCTGGCCTTTAGTTCTTAACATTGATCTTCATCGATTCCCACATAAATCTTGGGTGGCGTCCTATGGTCCCTAAAAATTTGAACCACCTAACCAAAATTAACCACTGTTTCCAGGTTCCCCCGGAGGAAACAATGACAGGCAAAAAAACAAGTCACCAATTCTGAAGTGGGAAAGCAAAGCTTTTTACCAGAAAAATAAACTGCGTTTTCCTTTTTCTCTAACTTCCCCACAATCCCTGAACTTGCTAAAGAAGTTTTTAAAGGTAAAAAAAAAAAAAAGTGCAACATCAAACAAGCTTAACAATGAACTAAAAAAATAAAGCAAGCAAAACAGGGTTCAGAGTAAGCTTCCATTTATGTCATTCTCATAAACATTAGTGGTACCATAAACAGAAATAGACCAAAGTAAAAATGAAAAAAGTTTCCTTCACATCATTCTTCATGATGCGTTAACATATTTCTTAAGGAAAAAAACTAATTAGTAACCCCCACAACCCCACACAAAAAAAAAGGAGCCATATCATAGAGTAGATCCAGTCCTCATATATGAACATTCATAAGCTAAAACTATATAGTATGCTTTCAAAGAGATAACAAACCACTCAAGATTATATTTCTTCATCCTTTCTTCTCTCTCCTTGGCCCTCTTCTTCATTGATGAACTCCATGACCTTTCTCTTCTCTTCTCGTTTAACCATATATAATATGGTAAATATAGTCTTTATTTCTTTTGTGATGTGATCTTAGGCAGCTGCAACAGTGCCAGTTCTCAAAGGGTAACCTTGATCTTCATTTGGAGATGTAGATCTCCTTTGGTCTTTCTTCCTCATAGATTTCATCGAGGAAGACAGGTTCTTGTTCTTCTCTTTAGCTTCATCCATGTCAATTTGTTCTTGTCTGCAATCTTCACTACAGAAAGGTGTATCCCCTCTGCAAATCACAACAAAATAAGGAACCAAATACATGCAATTTCCTCTGTTTTTAAGCCTATAACTAAAAGATTCATTCGGCTAATACAAAATTCAGATCATTCTCTATAAATCATTGGTGAAATTAGGACGAACCTGTACATGAAGATATCACGGTTTCCCCCGAGTGGCTTCTTGCAGAGGAAACAAGCATCCAAGAAATGGGGTTGTTGAACATCTTCAAATCTGGAATCATAAAACCGGGCAGACCTCGGAGAAGGAACTGAACCGGAAGAAGAAGGCAGATTCCTCAAACTAGTCCTCCTTAGGTAACAAAGACGTCCAGAAAAAAACCCATAATGGTTACCCCTCTGGTAATTGCTTCCTGAATATCCGGCCTCCATATCTGCGAGGGAAGCCAAACCATCGTCTTCTTCAATGAAACAAGGCCGCCTTGAAGGTCCAGAAGAGTCCATTTTGTTATAAACTCCTATGGAATAATTAAAGGTTTAGCCCACGGGATTTGTTTAGAGGGAGGTGGAAAGTGAGAGAGAGGAGTGGAGAGAAGGAAGAAGATGAGCGGGGGAAGGTACTTAAGGGGAGATTTTTATAGTGGGGGAGAAAGCTTTATTCTTTGTTTATGAAAAAAAATCTTAAAATAGATTATAAACAGCAGCCGGTTTTAGGAGTCCGTGCAAGTGAATCCATTGGCCCAAAAGAACGGGGTTTTTAACCGTTTGATTTTAATTTTACTTTTCTGACACCGTTTGATCAATATTTCCAGAACTAGCACCCTTTCTGCTGAGTTGGCAAAAGCGCGCTTTACCCGTATTTTTCGCTGAGTTGGATGCCACGTGTGAAAGGCGCGTCCCCGAGGACGCGCCTTTGCCAACTCAGCAGACACGTATTTTGTTTTATAATAAATAGTTTATTTTTATTATTATTATAAATTAATAATATATTATGTAAAATGTTTTTATTATAATGTAAGAATTATCAAGTTTCGAGTATTTTTTATTTTGATTATCGATCTATTAATTTTATCAGTTAATTATTTAAATGTTATCAATTTAGTCAATATTTAACGAAAATATTGATGCATAAGTTAATAAATTAGTATGATTACATATTTAATCATCAAGACTTACATATTTTATAAAATTAGTCTTATTGAAAATTTAATTTAATAAATTTAAAAGTTATAACGAAAAAATTATAACTAATAATATTAAATATTATATTAAATAATTATATTAAATATATTTATGTATTTAAAAGTTAAAAAAATTTATTTAGGTGTACATACATTGACAAATTATATAAATGCAATAACATTAAATTATTAGAAATAAAAGCATTCATTTAAAAACTTTAATTACATAAGAGTTAACGGTTATATGATGATAACAGAGCTGGACATTTTTTTCTATTGTGCCCGATGTTTCTACAATGCCCACATCGTTTTTGTTCTGTTGACTTCTCCCGAATATCCATATCACAATGTATTCTAGTAGATTTTGGATGACCTGAGTCCCTCAATAGCAATGGATCTGGTACAATTGTAAGCCAAGTTTGAATCTCATTTGGGTCTCTTTCGTTTCCTATGGGCGGAAACTCAAATTCATATACCTTGAAAACTTGTGAAAGTTGGTATACGGGATCAACATAATTTTTGTAGTCCAAATGCGAATGTGAGCAAGCAGCAATGACATGAGAGCATGGATATTTGAGTGCTTGAAAGAAACCACAATCGCACCACCTCTCTTGCAGATTAACTCTGAAAGAGTTAGCTTCAATCCCTTGCAGCGGACGTGGCATTTCGGTTACACGAAACAATTCACGGGTGCGAGAAAAATTTGTAACTAACATCACATTTGATGTAGCCACTTTTTTCTGTAAATCGGCTACTAGTCTTGGGTGGTAAATATGTCCGTTTTGCATCCAAGTAAGAGCTTGTCATTTTCATTAAACCAGTCCATATAGTTATCCGTAACCATATGACCAGTTTCAGCGTAATATTGTCGAGGGGCCAACAGTGTATATCGGTTCTCCCAAAGCGCAATCCAATCTCTGTGTCTCACCACCCAGTTAACATCTTTCTTTCCCCGTCTATCTATGTTATGCACGTCGTCTAAATTTCTAGGAGCTCCAGGAATATATTGCGTACAACCATACTGACGGAGCACGCGATCAACTGGATGCCACTCAATAATAGCATAACATATAAGAGGTATAACCGATATCCATACCTCTAATGACCCACTAAGGTGGGGTGGGATGCAAGCTTTCACTTCATCGCTCGCATAAGGTATCCACTGAAACTGAAATATAAATATACAATTCAAATAAATAAAATATTCTAATTATATCTAACATTTTAAATTAAAATATTAATAATTAAACAAATTTAAAAACATACCTCAGACCCAGCTTTCGTATCAATAAGTAAACGAATTTCCTCTAAAACAGTAGGTATACTTTTATGGTCCTTTCTTTTCATCGACCACCTATGAAATATAATATAAACTAAATATCACCCTATTTAATTGAAAATATTTAAATCAAAATTTAGTTCGAAAATTACCTCAACAATAAGGGGAATACGTATGGTTCATTCACGATCGGGCATAAGAAAGGCATGCGGAACCACGCCCATGATTGTAGAAGCAGAAGACATCCACCGATAGCAGTTTTCTTATAATTCGTCGCCCGACACATTTCTCTAAAGAGAAATGCCAAAACTGCAGCACCCCAACTATATCTTCCAGCTTCATCAAAATCGATCAAATGCCGCAACCACATACAATGCACCTGGTTGCGAGATTTGTCGGGCATCAATATTCCTCCAATTATTCGTAGAATATATGCCCGAGCACATGCCTTTGCTTGATCCTCTGAAGCATTTTCATTTAAAACCTCAAAATTAGCTTTCAACCAAGATAAAGCTATTCTACCTCCATTAAACTCTGGCGGAGCAGCTCCAAGATAATCAATGCACATTGATTGCCAATCACCATCCGCCATACCACATCATATTTCCGTCGACGGGAAGCCCCAGATGCATAGAGACATCCTCCAATGTAATTGTTGCCTCTCCACATGGAAGGTGAAAAGTGTGTGTCTCGGGCCTCCACATCTCAATCAGTACAGAAATTAGGACAGGTTCGAGTTTGCAACCGCCTATAATTGTTGCAATATACCCGAACCCAGCAGAAGCCAAATATGGCAAAATACGTTCCGGTGTCGGTATACGTGGATTTTTAATAAAAGTTTCTAAAATACGATCAGCATCCTAAATAATATATTATAAAAAGTAAAAATTAATATAAATTCATAATAACTTTAAAATAAAAATAAATTTAAATATTAACATTAATTATAAAAAATATTACCATATCGCTAAAATGTCTGGAGATATGATCAATATCCAATCGCAACAGCATTTCGTTTTCCATTATAACTGTAGACAAAACAATATAATTAGCAAAAAAATTAATAATTCTAAATAAATAATAATTATATAAATATTATTTTAATAAAAAAAATAATATTTACATAAATATATTAATATAAAAATAATAACTATTTAAAAAAATACTAACATAAAAATAAATTTCTTACCACTAATAACAAATTTAAAACTCAAATAGTTGGAGAATTTGAGTTATATAAGAGAGGAGAAGATGATTTTGGTGTGAAGAATGAGTGAGGGTTGAGGGGGTTTATATAGGGGAGGAGGAGGGGTAGTTAGGAAAAACGGATGGGGGCATTTATGACATTTAATGGAAGGCGCGTCCCCGGGGATGCGCCTTCCACACGTGTCTGCTGATATGGCAAAGGCGCGTCCCCGGGGACGCGCCTTTCACACGTGGCATCCAACTCAGCGAAAACACGGGTAAAGCGCGTCCCCGGGGACGCGCCTTTGCCAACTCAGCAGAAAGGGTGCTAGTTTTGAAAATATTGGTCGAACGGTGTTAGAAAAGTAAAATTAAAAACAAAAAGTGTCAGTTATGTAATTTAGCCCAAAAGAACTGCATCTCCGAGTTTCTGATCTAATTTCCGGTTATTGCCCTTCGTTTAGACTCAAATTACCAAGATGCCATTGGATTGAAGATAAAAAAAATAGAATTTGAAAACAGTTTAATCAAAATTTCTAAATTTTCTAGTGGAAAATAACTTATAATATTAGTTGTTATTTAAAATTTTATGTGATTTAACTTGAATAATTAAACTCTTTTGAAAATTAATTTGAAATGAAAACCTGTTTAGATAAAAAGATATATATATATATATATATATATATATATATATATAAATTATCCTTATATAAATAAATTTGAATGTTTAACCTTCCTAAAAACAAATTTTAAAAATTAAACTCTTTAGATAAAATTAAGATAATTAGTAAGAAATTAAGAATAATCATTTAATAGTTTATTGTTTTAATCATGTGTAAAAATTCACACGAATTAAAATTATTTAATAATATATATTAAAGTAATAAAGTAATTTTACTTACATGTAACTGCTAACTACTAAAATGAATATATAAAACTTTAATTTAATAATTATAAATGTTTGTACATAAATAAGCTCTAAGTTATTTAATAACATGCATATTCACATTTAATAAAGTAATTTTATATACATATAATGACTAAAATGGATATACAAAACTTGTTGATAGTTTTAATATTAACAATATTTATTTAGATTTTCACATTATTAAAATTATGTGAATTCGTCTTATTATTTTTTTATTATATTTTATTTTTTATTTGAGTTCTACATCAAGTAATTTTTTAACTTGATGTAGAATTGGTGCTGTCGTTATTACAGTAACTTGGAGAATGAGTTTAAATCTCTTAAAATATAATTAGTTAAAGTTTGTAAATTTATACGTAATTACGAAAACTTATAATAATAATAATAATAAATTGTAATTGTAGATGAGTGAATGGAGGGGTAGATGAGGGAAATGGACACAAAGCCCCACACCCACTCCAAATTCTAACGTAACGTCAACATCAGAGGAAGGCACCACCACGCTAGTCCAGCGCGCGTTAACTAACGACTACACCGCCATGATCACGGCTCCTCTTTTCCTCAACATGCTGCCTGGTGGGGCTCCTCCGGCCCCAAATACCCGTTTAAAGGTACAACTTGTAAATTTCTCTTTTCTGAAATTATTTTATTAATTAATTTTTTGGGGTAATTAATAATCCCAACTTATAAATCCAACAAAATTTAACACTTCTTCAATCGAGTAATTACTTATCGGATTAATATTCAAATATTGATATGTATTTTGAATCGTTACACAACATTATCGACATACATGTTTTATTTGTATTTATATTTGAACTCTAGTTACCTTCAACACATTGTTTTCCGATCTCAAGTTCTTATTCAAACAATTGTCTAACTCGACAAAATAGTCGTCGAAACGATTGTCATTCCGGAATAGTAATTCCGATACGAAAGATATAACTTATCTCACATTTAAGCTTTAGTCTCACATTCAAGTGGAGAAGCATGGTAAAATTTATGTGAGCTAAGGTGAAGAAACAAA